TTTTGTTTTTTTGTTTTTTGTTTTTTTGCTTTTAGTCGAGATAACAGTAAGACGTATTAAACTCATAAAAGGTAAATGAATGTATTGCAATATTTAAGCTGTCCGGGTAGCAGGCGTATCGAGTGACAAGTGAAGTGAGTAGAGACTGCGGGAAGTCGAAGCGCCCCCCTGTGAGTGACTGCAACAAACAAGGGAGAGTAAATGCGACCAGCTGGTTGTTTAAACATTGGACAGGATATTAAATTAATGGATTCTTCTAGAAGCATACATATAGACAAGGCAACTTTCTCGAGTAGAAATTTATTGATTGTCGATGAGAGAGAATTCATCAAATCCTGATATAATTTTTTTTTTCGATTAGAATTAGTGGGATGTGTCCGACCTGAACCGATCGCAAAGGTTGGTTGCATCGATAGCGTACCGAATTAAATATGTCTACCGATGATATTACTTTCCCAACCAGCCTTTGACATGCCGAGTCGAACGCTACTGTTGGTTGTCGGTGCCATCTTGAAATCATTTTTGTATTAAAATCTAATATGTATTAAGTGGAATTACCTCATTCGCAGGTTGCATTCAAATGACATTTGTCGTTTTAAGTATTATCTTTTATCGCAAAAATGGTATAAACCAGAAATAAAACAGGCACAATAAATAGAGAAATAAATAATAGGGAGTTGTTTTAGTTCCTGGTGAAATTGGTTATTGTGGGCGAGTCGCATTTTTTCGATAAATATTAAATTGTTACTTAAAAAAAATTCCAGTAAATAAAGCCATTAACGAACTGATTACGAACCAAAGAATGGGTCGTTAAACGAGGTATTCGCTAAGTGAGAACTTGTCTCTGAAAGCTGAATTAGGTTTAGCATAATAAAGCCTATAATATTGTAATGATTGAAACTGCAGCTATTCCTCACTTAATGACTAACTTGCTAAAGACTCCGGAATTACGACGAACTATAAAATCTCATAAAATAAAATTTTATAAAATAAAATCTTTGAATCCGATCGTGTTTAGCATAATAAAGCCTATAATATAGCAATGACCAAAAATGAACTACAATTATTCCTCACTTAACGACTCAGTTGTTAAATGACTCCGTAATTACGACCAGCTATATAATCTCATGAAATAAAATAAAAACCCAACCGCTGTACAAAATGTTTAAACATGATCGTGTTTAGCATAATAAAGCCTATAATATTGCAATTACCGAAAAGCATGTCAGTGTTATTGTCATGTTTATGCGTACTTTAGACGACAATTTATCCATCGCACCCTGTATTAAGGAGAAACACTGTGCTAAATTTAAGTTCCCTTAATTAAACGAAAAGACATAGAAATTTTATTCTTGTTTTACTTTACAATTAGACTGGAATTTTAACATCTAATTTTCAAATTTAAAATTTTAAAAATTGCGAAAAAAATTCACTATTCTCACAACGTTTCGACCGGTTTGATATTCTGCTTTTATTCTGCATTTTATTCCTTGGATGAAGGTGGAGAAAAATCTTATAAAAAAAATTGGAGATTACGGCATGACATTCACATCGCCGAATTTTCGGTAACTTATGTTTTAACGCTTCTAACGTGGAAAAGAAAGACTGTGCTGAGCCAATCTTCAAAACGTAGACGTGTTCCCCAGCCTATATTCTGATTTTTACTTAGAATCCCACAATAGCTAAACACAGAAGTAAAAAAAAAAATAAGCTGCCACTTGAAAACTGATGATGGTTGTAACCAAGGATTTGAGAGAACTGATCTTTTTCAGACTGTTGCGCACGTCATGTGGTCTCTCCCAGAAAATGTAACTAAGTTCCGCTTAGCCTGATTAAAGTATAAACCACAGGCTGACTCTTGAAGGAATGCATAGGTGTCAGAGCAGGCTTCTTTAATAGGGGTAAGCTAACCACTGGATTAGAGACCATAATCTCTTGAGACTAACGACGGAAATTGGAATCAATACTGCACGCTGTCTGCCAGCGAACTCCAATATATAATTTTCATGAAAACGAAGACTCACAAAACCATGGTCATATTTATTTCGTTAGGATCGAAAATTCGATTCCAACTCTTCCGACCGAAGATATTGCACACACACACAAAAAAAAACAAAATGGTTAAATATTTAACCAGGTTCAAAGAAAAATATGAACATAATTTATGCAGATTTAAAAAGTTAAGGCGGACAGAACGACGGGGTATTCAGATAGGACACGTATAATGAAAAAGAAAATGGCTGGAGGAGACATATTTAATTCTGTTTAAAAAGATATTTTAAAGTTTTAGTTTGTAGGCAATGTTGACCTAATTCTCCGGAGTTGAACATTCAAGCAGAAAGAGATCTTTAGATGGTAAAAGAGGGTGGATACAGAGAAGAGAAAAGAAAAGAGAGAAGAAAAAGAGAGGAAAAAAGAGAGAAAAAATTATTATTAATTATTATTATTATTAACTATTATTTGCTTTGCTTGTTTGACATCGAACTTTCTCTGGATTTATATCTTCTTTGGAATTATCCATACGGATTACCAAATATTATCATTATATATATATATATATATATTTATATATATATATATATATATATATATATATATGTGTGTGTGTGTGTGTGTGATTAAAATTTCTCTAGACACAGTTACAGTGTGTATAGATATAAACAATACAGTCATAGGAATCGGCACGGCATGATTACTGGCAGTTTCACGTTTCAGTGAGATCTTTTGACCAACTCGGTCTGAAGATCGCATTGAAGCGTGGAAGTAAACAGTCAGTGTTCATTCCTATGTCTTCTCTCTTTCCACACACACACACACATAAATACACACACACACACACATAAATACACACACACACATATATATAATTATATGCATGTATATATATTTTATATATATGATTGCATATATGTGTATATTTACCCCGAATATTATCAATCTATATATATATATATATATATATATATATATATATATTGAGTGTCCGCCAAAAATCACACAAACTGCGTGAATTTCACACTGTAAAATTACTATGTAGCAACCACACAGAGCATTTCATCATCCCAAAACACATCCTTGATAATGGCTAGAGAAGTAATCGAAAGCGCTCGCTAAAATTAAGGCTATGGACAATTCCTATGTTCTTTAACCCCGCAAAACGGAAAAATGTTATATTGCTGGAAAAACTCAATAAAAGATTAGTTAAATCTTCCCTGTAGGCTGTTTTCAATGAAAGATGCATGGAAGAAAGGTTGCTGCCCAAAGACATATCAATATATATATATATATATATATATATATATATATATATATATATATATATATATATATTATTTATTTAAAAAATATGATTCCATCGCTACATAAGAGTTCTCATGTTTCAAAACAAGAGCCGAAAACTTCAATATAATTATTTGAATTAAATTGATCTCTGTTCCATCTAAAGATAATAACAAAAATACTAAAGAACTTTGGATTATTTACCTAACGAGTTCTCTCCTATTTTCTATATATTTTTGCACACACACACACACACACACACACACACACACACACACACATACATATATATATATATATATATATATATATATATCAATCAAACCTTCTTTCAAAAATCTTCTCTCAAAAATTTTGAAACTACCAGCGTCTGTCGTTTTGTGAGCATGTGTAGAGTGGCAACATCAACAAACCCCAGTACGATGAAATTCTAACGGATGAAACTAAACCTTTTTTCCAATTTGTCATATTATATATATATATATATATATATATATATATATATATATATACGCATAGTGCTATAAAACATTTTAGTGAATTTGCATTAATTTATCAATGTCTCCATTTGCCCCCCCCCGTATCTCTTTGGATATTATGTCAATTCTATGTACTTATTTACGACAGTAATATGCTTTTAATTAATAAAAATTATACTTTCTTATATATGACAATTATCCCTTCTTATTTACGATAGTGATATGTTCTCATTTATGGCAGTGTTACATTATGGCAAGTAAGTTCATCCAGTTCAATTTTACACGATTACCCCTGGGAAAAATATGAAGCCAGTATTTCTTCTTCCAGCTATGATTCCAGATAACTGAAATGATTTATCTTCAGGTGGCAACCAGTCTAGGAGAAGGAAAGCTCTAAATTCAATATCAGCCTGAAGAGAGATAGACACCGGCAAGCTAAATTGTAGTAGACACGCCCCTGATGTTACGGCTGCAGTACGTGTTGCTCCTTCGACCCTAATGACTTACGGGACTCGTATCACGATTTATAGCAGTTACATGTTCTCATTTACGACGGTTATACGTTGTTATTTATGGCAATTACATATTCATATTTACGACAGTTATACGTTCTTTTTTATTTATGGTAATTATACGTTCTTATTTACGACAGTTATACGTTCTTACTGATAGCAATTATACATTCTTATTTACGAGAGTTATATGTTCTTATTTATTTATGGTAATTATACGTTCTTATTTACGACAGTTATACGTTCTTACTGATAGCAATTATACATTCTTATTTACGACAGTTATACGTTCTTATTTATGGAAATTATACTTTCATATTTACATCAGTTATATGTTCGTATTTATGGTAATTATAGGTCCTTATTTACAACAAATGAGCGTATTTATGGCAATTACGTTCTAAATTGCGACAGTTATACGTTCTTTATAATTGTTTTAGATTATTATAAATACTAGTTTAAGTGTACTATCAGAATATGACAAATGTTTAAGTAAATATCTAATTTATATTTATAACATATCAAAAGATTATCTATTATTATTTTTCAATATTTTCAATATTTCCTGAATATTAAATAAAAAAATAATATATTGACGACTGAATAATTATAATATATACATAACTGGAAGAATAATAATAAAATTTGTGAGCTAAAAGTGATTATCTCAATACTATATATATATATATATATATATATATATAGCCACACACATATCTATCTATTACAGTCTGTTCATATCTATCTATCGATCTATCTCAGGCTGCCTAACAATCTATTTTACTTTTCTCCTATCCTATCTATCTATCTATCTATCTATCTATCTATCTATCTATCTATCTATCTATCTATCTATCTATCTCAGTCTGTTCATATCTATCTATTGGTCTATATATTTTACGTTTCTCATATCTATCTATCTATCTATCTATCTATCTATCTATAAAGATTTTTTTTTTTATTTACCAATTTGCAGCAGTTTTTCTGAATGTAACATATAATATATTTTCTTGTCCACAATATTCCGGCATTAGACATATGGTTTTATTGGTACAATTTCCTTTTTGTTAGTGTTCATGTATTGTTACTATTTAGTATTTAGGAGGAAAATATATTTAAAGCAACATTAAATAGTATATGCAAATCTCTCAGAGAGAGAAAGAGAGAGAGAGAGAAAGAGAGAAAGAGAGAGAGAAAGAGAGAGAGAGAAAGAGAGAAAGAGAGAGAGAGAAAGAGAGAAAGAGAGAGAGAAAGAGAGAGAGAGAGAGAGAGAGAGAGAGACGTGTGTATTGCGCTAGGCCGATGGAAAAGTCAATGGAAACGATCTTGGCTCGAGCAACGCCCGGTATCTTTTCTATTTTGAAAATAAATTGAAGAATTAATAAAGTAACGTTTAACTAATAAATAATAAAGATCACACAACTATTTACTCCTGTCTTAATAGCAAGTCTTGATTGGTTCAATTTGGCAGCTGATTTAAAAAAAAAAAGACCTACAATCTGTTGTTAAATAGGGCAAGGAGTGGCTTGTTAATTTTATCGCTTCAACGACGAAACTGCTCTCTTTCTGAGAGATCCCTTCATACATTCCGGCCTAACATTTTCAGCTGAAGTGGAAAGTGTATATTGAATCAGTTGTTAAGTTGATTCGTTATGTTGTGCTAGACAATCTTTCTCCTCAAAATTGATCTTAGATATTCATAAGTCTATCATTGGACTTGTCTTTGAATATTGCTGCTACATCTGCTCTGGTGCTCCTGCTATATATTTAAAGGTTCTTAAATAAAATCCAATGAAGAATCTGTAATTTTATTGGTCCTGACCTGGCATCTCGGCTTCAGTCTCTTTTCCATTGCCGTAACGTAGCTTCCCTGTGTCTTTTCCACAAATATTTTCATCGTAATTGTTCTGCCGAACTTTTCTTGATGATGCCTAGACTTTATGAATTTAAGCCCAATACTGGATTGGCGGCAACGTCTCGTCGTTTTACAGTTGAAATGGCTAGATGTAACCGTAAGTTCTATGCTAACAGTTTCTTCTATCGGACTTCTTGTGTGTGGAACTCTCTTTCTGCTTCTTGCGACTCAGTCAACTTTGATCTTCAAAAATTTAAATGTAATGTCAGTCGTCTTTTTAATTCTTATTCTTTTATTGTCTATTCTCTTGAATAGTAGTTTTGCTCATATTTTCTAACACTCAGTAACCTCTTGCATCTTAGTGGCTTTATTGCCTTGCTTGTAGTGAGATGATTAAAAAGAACAAAAAAAAAAAAAAAAAAAAAAAAAAAAAAAAAACGAAGTCTGTTTCCCATTCATAAAAGCAAAATCTTTATATTTTGAAACTGGCTTCCATCTGTTGGAGAATTTGATCGAAATGTGTGACTCAGTCTATTTACGTTCAACAACTACTTTTCAAGTTAATTGTATCTCAGATCTATTAGCAACAAATAGTCTCCACTGTATTAGCCTTATAGACATCTATCTTAATTATCGCAAGTCACTAGGAGAACTGTATTAAATAATTTAATTTTAATAAAGAGTTTGGGTAAAGCAACCAATTACAATAAACGGTATTTGAAAAACGACAATTGAATTTAGATGTAAAAAAAAAAAAGAAAAGAAAAGAACAAACTAACAAAAAAAACAAGAGATTTACCGAGGCGTATAAGGGCAACATATGTCCAAAGCTTTGATACATTTCTAGTTTTTCGTTCCGCTCAAGGGCACCTGACAATATGTGCTATCAAACAATCCCCTGAAAAAAAAAAAAAAAAAAAATAAATAAATAAATAAAAAATAAAAATAAATAAACAAACATCGACTCTATAAAAATGTATTGCTTAGGTAATGAAACAGACCAATCGAATTTTATGAGAAACGAACAGTGAATTCAATGACAAAATGAGAAACGTTTATAATAATGATCATAAAAAAAAAAAAAAAAAAAAAAAAAAACGTCTTTGATATTTCTTTTGTGAAACGAAATTGGCCAACTGTCACCAGCGACGGGTGGGCGACAGTTGGTTCCCGATCAAGAAGACTAGCACGACAAAAGACATTTAAATTCAGTGTGACGAAAAGAAAGCTTTAGATAGGAACGAGAAAATAAATTAACATGCACCTATCATCGATATGTACTCCTGGTGATGATTTCTTTTTTTTTAAATTAGCGCGCTCACGCGATAGGATCCGACGGTAAAACTGTCAGCAAAAAATGTCCGTGTCTGTGTCTCATTCGAACGATGACAGTCACGTGATGGCGATTGAAATATCCAGTCGTTGATGGCCATTGCGGGATCCGACCATTTAACGTATTTGAAGCGTGGCGTATTTGATTATTGATATTATTGCTAGTCATTTTTTTTATGGACCCATTGCTACATTTTTGTACTGACCGATTGTAGTTGTTTTAGTCCCCTGACCAGCCATTCCAATCATAACACTGGTTCAATATTTGGCCCGGCGGCGCATCTCTTATTGACTTTCGATTCAACGAGGCAAGACGAAACCAAATCAAGCGGAAAACACCAAGATTGATGAGACTATTGATTATGACGTAATTCGGGAAACGTGAGGGCAAAGAAGGAAGAAAAATAAATGGCGAGACAACATTATGTTGGAGACTTCTTTTTTCATTTATCAGCTTTTGTTTCAGGATGGAGGAATAATAATAATAATAATAATGCAATGTATCTTTGAATAATAATAATATTAATACAATGTGTCTTTGAATAATAATAATAATACAATGTATCTTTGAATAATAATAATAATAATAATAATGCAATGTATCTTTGAATAATAATAATATTAATACAATGTGTCTTTGAATAATAATAATAATAATAATAATAATACAATGTATCTTTGAATAATAATAATAATAATAATGCAATGTATCTTTGAATAATAATAATAATAATAATAATAATAATAATAATACAATGTATCTTTAAATAATAATAATAATAATAATAATACAATGTATCTTTGAATAATAATAATAATAATAATAATACAATGTATCTTTGAATAATAATAATATAATACAATGTGTCTTTGAATAATAATAATAATAATAATAATAATACAATGTATCTTTGAATAATAATAATAATAATAATAATAATAATAATGCAATGTATCTTTGAATAATAATAATAATAATAATAATAATAATAATAATACAATGTATCTTTGAATAATAATAATAATAATAATAATACAATGTATCTTTGAATAATAATAATATTAATACAATGTGTCTTTGAATAATAATAATAATAATAATAATACAATGTATCTTTGAATAATAATAATAATAATAATAATAATAATGCAATGTATCTTTGAATAATAATAATAATAATGCAATGTATCTTTGAATAATAATAATAATAATGCAATGTATCTTTGAATAATAATAATAATAATAATGCAATGTATCTTTGAATAATAATAATAATAATGCAATGTATCTTTGAATAATAATAATAATAATAATAATAATACAATGTATCTTTGAATAATAATAATAATAATGCAATGTATCTTTGAATAATAATAATAATAATGCAATGTATCTTTGAATAATAATAATAATAATAATGCAATGTATCTTTGAATAATAATAATAATAATGCAATGTATCTTTGAATAATAATAATAATAATAATAATACAATGTATCTTTGAATAATAATAATAATAATGCATGTATCTTTGAATAATAATAATAATAATAATAATAATACAATGTATCTTTGAATAATAATAATAATACAATGTATCTTTGAATAATAATAATAATGCAATGTATCTTTGAATAATAATAATAATAATGCAATGTATCTTTGAATAATAATAATAATAATAATAATAATACAATGTATCTTTGAATAATAATAATAATAATAATAATAATACAATGTATCTTTGAATAATAATAATAATAATAATAATAATAATGCAATGTATCTTTGAATAATAATAATAATAATGCAATGTATCTTTGAATAATAATAATAATAATAATATTAATACAATGTGTCTTTGAATAATAATAATAATAATAATAATACAATGTATCTTTGAATAATAATAATAATAATAATAATGCAATGTATCTTTGAATAATAATAATAATAATAATAAATGTATCTTTGAATAATAATAATAATAATGCAATGTATCTTTGAATAATAATAATAATAATAATGTATCTTTGAATAATAATAATAATAATACAATGTATCTTTGAATTGAATAATAATAATAATAATAATAATAATAATGCAATGTATCTTTGAATAATAATAATAATAATGCAATGTATCTTTGAATAATAATAATAATAATGCAATGTATCTTTGAATAATAATAATAATAATAATGCAATGTATCTTTGAATAATAATAATAATAATACTATGTATCTTTGAATAATAATAATAATAATAATAATACAATGTATCTTTGAATAATAATAATAATGCAATGTATCTTTGAATAATAATAATAATAATAATAATAATACAATGTATCTTTGAATAATAATAGAAATACAATGTATCTTTGAATAATAATAATAATAATAATGTATCTTTGAATAATAATAATAATAATGCAATGTATCTTTGAATAATAATAATAATAATAATAATAATAATACAATATATCTTTGAATAATAATAATAATAATAATAATACAATGTATCTTTTGAATAATAATAATAATAATAATACAATGTATCTTTGAATAATAATAATAATATTAATACAATGTCTTTTTGAATAATAATAATAATAATAATAATACAATGTATCTTTGAATAATAATAATAATAATAATAATAATAATGCAATGTATCTTTGAATAATAATAATAATAATGCAATGTATCTTTGAATAATAATAATAATAATGCAATGTATCTTTGAATAATAATAAT